CTGAGAGTGACCTTCGCCTCCGGCAAGACTCGGAGCTATCAATGGAGGGTGTCGCAGCTCGAGTGTATCCTCAAGCTCCTCACCGAAAACGAGCTGGAGATCGTCAACGCTCTCCGCTCCGACCTCTCTAAGCCTGAACTCGAATCCCAAGTCTATGAGGTCTTCCGATTCCCCCATTTAATTTCTCGCCAGTGAATTAGGCTGTGATTAAAATTTGCTGAGAAATTTGGATCGAATTTTTTTGTTGGTTTCTGAATGATTTGATGCGGGCATGCTCTCTCTCTCTCTCTCTCTCTCTCTCTCTCTCTGTCAATAATTCATATCTATACGCTAAATCAGGAATTGGGTTGTGACTAGAATTTGCTGATTGCTTTAGTTCAATACGACACTATTAAATGCTGATTGCAGTTGCCTAGAAAAATATGCACAAATGGATCCCACAAAAGTAAGCCGTGTACGGTTTTAGTGTCCCTTTCATTGTCTAATTAAAGTTCATCCACTTTTATGTTCGATTAAAAATTTGTAACCGATTTTATTTGTGCATATTTTTCGGTTACATAATGGTGTCTCTTTGGTTTTATGCTTTCCATTGGACTCTAAATCCGGATCATAATTTTCAAATTCTTCTCATACTAGGTGGGGAGTCCTTGTCACTTGGGGTAGGAAAATCGTGCTTCTGTCACTTGGTAGTTCTGATGCATACATTATGTGGGGTATATTTAATAAGCTACGCAGGAAGAATGTAAGAAGTGGGTGGAGTGGATCACAAGGGTAATCAATGACACCCCACTAGATTCATTGCACGGATAAATTTGTCTCTCGTACTATTTGTGAGGATGCATTCCCTCCATTTGAAAGTCAGCCTTTTTCTTTTGGATGCTAGCAACCTTCTCACTTGAATCTTCTCGGCTTTCTTGTTCATCATGCAATGTTGTTTGATGATCGGAACTGTCTACTTTCTATATCACCTTTGGGGATCAAGTCTGCATAACCGGTCGACTAACAGTGTCAAAATTTCAATGTTTAATTGAGAATCATAGTTTGTCTAATTTCTTGAATAACCATTAGATGTCTAAACGATTTCAGATTTAGTTAATTTTTTGCAAAAAGATCTTTGAATAGCAACCAAGAAAGTAGGCGGTTCAAATGATCGTTCAACATTGTAGGATGAGGAGAGCCGAGAAGGTAGAATAAGAACTAAGAAGGTTGCTCGCATTTTTTTCTCTTCCAATTTTGTATTTTTGGTGGGGAGGGGCTAGCCGGGTAGGGCTTTATTATGGGGTTTGTAGTAAGTCAATAACTCTTGTAAGTTGAGGAGTACTTTTCATGTCTGTTTGGTGTCATAAGTATTCATATATCTTAAAATTTTTATTCTTTGAGATAAGTCAAGCCTTGTCTTTTCTAATATATAGCTAGGTGTGATGCGGAGAAAAGGTAAAGAATGAACTTTCCATTAACCGCATGGGGTGTCTGCAGGACAAAAACGTTTTAAACTATTTAGAAACTTACAGGAATAAATTTGACAACAATAAAGATTGTTGGGTGTTTTTTATTTGTAGTAGAGATAGATGTTTAAATTTGCAAATGCCTGATTTGTTAGAAAGGTCCAGTATCTTATGTTTCCAGACTATCAGAACCATTGATTAGGTAAACCCGTGTTTGAATATGTGGTGCTGATTCATAGTCTAGCAACATAACATGTTGGATATCTAGCAATATATATACGCTTACACATATATATGTATATAGGTATACTTCTGTATTGAATTATAGATATCTTACATATGTGCTACTGTGGATATGGCTTTGCTTTAACTCCATACAAAGATGGAGATGGCGGGTCAGAATCTGAAGTGTGGATTTCATGGTTCACCCTGAATTGGATGTTTCTGCACCCGAACAGTTTGGATTGAAAAATTGGCTTTCTCTCAAATTGGTAAACAAATGGAGAGCATTTTTTGTCAGCCATTGGTTTTGGTGGTTGTGGACACAATCTTTTGGCTCTCCTGCTTGCGAAATAGACAATTATTGAATCAAATGCTTTCCTAACCAATAAAGTCATCCAATTATTTAGGCCCTTCTCCAATTAATTTCTTCTCTGTGAAAACTTCACATGAATGCCTTATTTGTTATTGACTTCATATTTGGTTTATATGGTTTTCGTGTAGATAGCTATGATAAAAAACTCATGTAATTTGGCAATTAAGGAGCTGAGGAAATGGATGAAGCCAGAAAAGGTTTGTCTTTGTCAGCAACTCCATTGATTGGCAACCGATGGTTGTCATTTTGTTTGTCAAGACAGACATTTCTTGAGTTGATTTGACATTTGTATTCTATCTATTTTCCCCATGAGTAACATACTAATATTTCCCTTTAATTACAGGTTAAAACTTCAATAACAGTTTTTCCCGCATCAGCTGAAATAGTGTCTGAACCTCTTGGTGCTATACTAGTAATTTCAGCATGGAACTATCCTTTCTGTATGTTCATACTGGACTTTTTTTTTTTTTTTTTTTTTTTTTTAAGTTTAGCATTGAGCTCTATAGTTCGAATTAATCCTGTCCTCAAACAAAAATAATTTTGTAGTATCTGTTTTCCAGTACTCTCACTTGATCCAGTTGTTGGAGCCATTGCGGCTGGTAATGTTGTGGTTCTTAAACCATCAGAACTTGCTCCAGCCACATCGTCATTGCTTGCAAAACTTGTAGGTAAATATATGGATAGCTCTTGTATAAGAGTCGTTGAGGGGGCTGTTGCTGAAACATCTGCACTATTAGAGCAAAAGTGGGATAAGATATGTTACACAGGTTCTCAGTCATTTTCCTCTCATTTGTTCTGATCTTTCATTTTCCTTGGATTACAGCTGATTTTTCTATAATGGATTGAAAATATTATATTTAAATTTGTAGGAAATGGTAGGGTTGGGTGTATAGTGATGGCTAGTGCTGCAAAGCACCTTACACCAGTTCTTTTGGAGCTTGGAGGAAAATCCCCTGTTATCGTTGATTCTGGCATCAACTTACAAGTATAGAGATCTTCCTTCTTGCATAGCCTCAATAATATTTGATGTAGTTTACTTTCTGCTACTACGGTGCTGCGATTTTCATCTCGTCTCATGTACAAACTTGTCATTTTGTTTCTCCAAGGTTGCAAGTAGGCGCATAATTGTTGGTAAGTGGGGGTGTAATAATGGACAGGCTTGCGTCTCCCCTGATTATATCGTAACAACAAAAGATTTTGCTCCTAAGCTGGTAAGGTTACCCTCATATCCCATTGGAGATCTGAATTTGTTTTTCTGTTGGTGCCTCTGTTTCATTATCTTTATTCACAGGTGGAATCTCTGAAACAAGAATTGGAGAACTTCTATGGAAAGAATCAACTAGAATCAAAAGATTTGTCTCGGATTGTGAATCCTAATCACTTTGCTCGCTTGACAAAGCTCTTGGATGAGGATAAGGTTTCTGGAAAGATCGTCCATGGAGGTGAAATGGACAAAACCAACTTGTATGTTATACTTTATCTGATTGCTCTCTTCTTAGCGCTCTCTCTCTCTCTCTCTCTCTCTCTCTGTGAATTAATAGGGTATTGCATTGTATCGTAAATGCGATTAATGCTTCTTCCTTTTGATCACAGGAGGATAGCTCCCACCATCTTGCTCAATGTCCCACAAGACTCCTTGATCATGACTGAGGAAATATTTGGCCCTTTGCTTCCCATTGTCACGGTAAGAACCACAGATTTTGTTGTTGTGAGTTTGTGCTTTCAACGAAATATTTTTGCAGCAAAATATTTAAACAGCTCTGGCAGTCTCAGCACATTGATCAAAAGCTATAGAATCAGATTTTTCAAATTGTGAACTGGTAACAGAATATCTAACATGGTTCTCATTTGGGATGATTTGAAAGGAAAGTAGTCTAGCTACCTTCAGCATGCGCAAAAAAGTAGGCTGATCGTTACCATATTTTAATAGTGGAAACATTTTTGAAAGAGTAGCATTTGTATGATTGAATTGTTCTGTTTTTATATGCACGTGACACTGGAGATCCAATGCAATATCTTCCCTTCTGTTTGTAACAGGTGGACAAATTGGAAGACAGTTTTGATTTGATAAACTCAGGAGCAAAGCCCCTTGCTGCGTATTTGTTTACCAACAAGAAGAAGCTGAAGGAGCACTTTGTAAATACTGTATCCGCCGGGGGTTTGCTTATCAATGACACGACCGTACATGTAATACTTCACCCTCGAAATTCTTGAAACAAGACTCTACATGTTCATCGATGCATTCTTGGCATTTCCATTTGTTACATATAACACCGCACAGTCACATGCACGCTGATTAATCTATTTCCATTTTTCCAAACTCTGTTTAGAATCTAATTTGCATTACATATACTTGATGGTACAGCTTGCTGTACCCTCCCTGCCTTTTGGAGGAGTTGGGGAGAGTGGAATGGGTGCATACCATGGAAAATTCTCTTTCGACGCCTTTAGCCATAAGAAGGCTGTTGTTTATCGCGGTTTTGTTGGCGATGCCTCCATAAGGTACCCACCATACACAAAGGGGAAGCTAAGAATTCTGAAGGCTCTTATGGGCGGTGGCATATTAAGCATAATCCGTGCTCTGTTCGGATGGCCTGAGGCTTAAGAGAGAATAGGATCTCTCTTTGCTTGTGTGATTTCTTCTTTCGGTCAGATTTATAGAAGTCTTTCATTGTATAATATACGAATAGTGTTCTGATTTCACTCTGACGAAGGCTTGATTGTTTATGAAAAGGGAATTGGAGAGAGTAAAAGTTGGGGGTGAATGTCATAGATTTATATGTTTAAATGTCTTTGTAATTGAATCATACAATCATGTTCTTGCTGCTTATAATATCATGTTCCAAAGCTAAAGCATTTCGTGGGTTTTATCCGAGCCATATTTAATTCTAACCTAAACTAGGTGAATGGGTTTCGAACTTGGGTGCAGTGGGAAGATCACAATGCTCTAACTAACTTGGTTACGCCTAGTTCTGCGCTAAAACTCTTCAATATATAAACACCGGGTTGTCTTACAAAAGCTTCTACCTATATTATACAAATGAAGCATTGGATTCCATCTGTACTATGAAAACAATGAAAGGGGCAAAAAAGACTACAATCACTGAAGATCAATCATAATCCTCTAAAATGGTTTGAACATCCAATCGTTGTTCATGGGTGAGGGCGGTCGGAAAATCAACCAGAAACGTGACCTTCAAGTTTCCTCTCTTTCCTTCATCTTTAGAGACTGCCATGCCTTGGCCGGATATGATCTTTTCATAGCCAGGATATATGATGTCGTCGATCGTCAGCTTCATCTGGTCTCCACCCAGCAGAGGGATTGAGATGATGCAGCCAGTGAGAGCCTCCACCAATGGAATCTCTAGTGCCAACTCCAAGTCATCTCCTTCTCTTCTGAACAAAGGGTGTCGTTTTTCAGAAATCACAAAGATTATGTCTGCTGGGTATGCACCTGGTCTCTCAGTTCCCAATCCTTCAAATGTAATCTTTGTTCCTTTCTTCCATCCTGGCTCCACTTGTATTGTTACCAATTCATCTTCTTGAGCCAATTGCCTGCCATTAAAATACATTAATATGAAAAGATACTAGGAACAAGTAAGCAAATGATCTAAGCTTCACCCATATATATATGAGCAAATGATATTTGGTTCTGGAGTATCGCTTTTGTGCCACATTTACTAATCACATTGTTGATCCAATTTCTGCCAATTTAGGGTTTCACCTTCATAAAAGATGCAGTCAACAATATGATCAGCCATTCGTACTAGTCATAACATGTTTGATAAAGAGATCTCATTTTGAGTCGTTAAGTCAGACACATACATACGTACAAGTACATGAAAAAGAGACGTGATCAACATTTTGACGAGAATAGTTGTATAGTAAATCAAGGACAAGGTAACCAACCCGGTGTCTTTGACGATAGCCCTTGTGACCTTCATCTTCTTCTGGCATCCAAAGCACAGCTCCTCTAAGGTGCACTCAAGCTGCTTCTCAATGGCTGGGGGTTTCAACATCCCAGATGAGTTAGAAAACATGATGGGGGCGGGGCTCTTCCGGCTCTCACTTTTTGAGAGAAAGGGATGGGCGGGCGTGCAGTCTGAGCTTTTAGTAGTACACCCCGGCGTAGTGGGGGTTGCCGGAGAGGGCACCGCAGAATCGGGCCAGCTTTTCCGGCTCTTAGTTTTCTTGAGGGAGGGTGAAGGGATGCGACTCTTTGGGCTTGAGCTCTTTGAGAAACGAGGAGAAGACACGTTAAAGATGCAGTCCACGCTTTTGAGACCTCTAGGGCTTGATGGATCATGGCGTCGCATTCTTTGCAGGCTAATGCATCTAAAGCTGTGCAATCCATGCATGGTTTTCTTTTCTGTATCCTCATCCACTTCCTGTATGTATATACACATATATGTATACATATAAAATCTATCTTGATCAATACTACGTATACAAATTAGTTAATCTGTATGCATGCAATGCAATTAGATAAACACGTGAAAAAACGAGGTTGTTAATTATGGAAGCATAATGTTGCAGCATATTGATTATCAAGGTTATCGTTAATCTGCATGCATGCATGTAATTAGATAAACACAGGAAAAAGCATATTGATTTTCAAAGTTAATATTACAATGAAATTTTATTATCTTTCTAAGACATTCCTATCCACACGCAGTTCTTGTTTATAAATTTTGATCATTTTGTATACGAGAGGAATATTGCTCTCATCTTATGTTGTAAGATTGTTAATGTAAACTGTGTATATATGTATTGAACAATCATGCAAAATTGGCAATCTAACGATATATTTACCTCAAAAATCACATCATTGTCTTGAAATTGGTCAACTATGGCTTCCTCTTGTGGAGCTGAGCATGATTTCTTTTTCATGTGTCGCCATTTCTTGACAATGGATTTATAGGCAGATATATACAGATTCCGAATGGAAGGGATAAGAGGACGCATGGGTAAAAATCACGCACCATGCACAGATCAAAAGAAGAAGAACAACAACGAAGGTAACAAAAAGAGAGATCAAAAGATTGGCTATGTCCACAAGAATGCGTGTTTTGCCAAATATGAAACTAGCAGCGTTTTATAAGGCCTTTCATTGATAATTAGTTCATTCAGTTAATCAATCGGACGAGAAATAATTTCTCTACAACAGTTATATGCATTCGATGTCACGTTTGTGGCTTATCACATGCTAGTCAACCCAACTACTTATCGTGAGACACCGGTTGCATAAATTGGTCGTAGAGAAGAATTTTTTTAGGAGGACAGATAATTCTTTCTTACTTATATTGTTATATTGGCCTTCAAGGGTTGAGATGTTTTCTAGTCAACCTTAAAGATAAGATCAGAGGCATTAAAATGGTAATAACCTCCAAAGGTAATTGAGCACGAGAGAAGGTAAAAACCTACGTACTCAACAGCTGCTTTCCAGGGAAACAAATAATCCAAATATATATACTATGCAGGTGTCAGAAAATAGGATTGTTTACTAATTAAACTGTTTTAAAAGGTGGTTATAAGTTTTTCTTAATGTCCATGTAAAATAATGGTATGTATTTATATAATTTAAGAGAGCTGCTTGACAGACACATCTTATATGTCTCTTAGTTCATCCACTTTTTAATAAAAAAATTTAATGACACATTTGACATTGTGTATGTTAGGGTCCAAAAATTAGACAAGGATTGTCTGCCCTCTCACTTCCGGTGCCCTCCCGTGCCCTCCTGTTTTGTGTGGCTACGGTTAAGCCACGTCAACATTTTATATATTTTTTTTTATAGAGATAATAAGACAAAAATAAATAGTAATATACAATGTTGACGTGGTTTAACCGTGACCACACAAATAGGAAGGCATGGAAGGGCACCGGAAGTGAGAGGACAGACAATCCCTATCCCCAAAAATCTCACATGCAAGCCCATTTAAGCACTTGTTCAATAGTATTGATCTTTTTATCATAACATGCCACCAACCGAGTGCCTTGCTTTTAAAGGGAAACTTCGTTTGATTCAGTGGTTCACTAAAAAAGATTATCACTTCTGAAATTTGTGGTTTTGATAAAATTACTTTACACTAGGATTTCATAACATTGGTGAATAAAAAAAGTAAGTTTGGTGGAAAGCAAATTTGGTAGTGCATCAAAATGTCTCACTTTATCAATCATGTTGTCTAGTGGAATTATTGTATAGTGAACATCTTAGATCCTAAAATGAGTCACATATCGGAGGTTGCCAAGTGGATTGTGGTATGAATATTATGGAAGTTTATTGGGCCTATGTGAAGCTAAGGTGTCGAAAGACTTTGGAGTGCTTGGGAACATTAAAAGTTGGAGCTCATAATTTTGGGTTTCACGTCGGTAAGTTTGGGAGAGAAGAGACAATATTTCCTTTTGCCTTACCAACTAAATAGAGCACTTAGGAAAAAAGCCAATTTGCCTACAGAATAACGTTCAAACGTGAAGTTGTGTGCCTCATCAATGAGGAGAGAAGGGGTCTTCCCTTCAAAACTTACACAGAAAAACGAGGAAGGAAAATAAGGAAGTTGTGGGCTCAGGCCAGTGTTCACAAGGCTAGCAGCGTGCTCAAATTATTCTATACTAAAATCCAAACGCCAGTGTACTGTTCACGGACAGTGGAGTGGCGAAAATGCCCTCCAAATTTTTTCCCATCAGCTGTATCTTTTAGCTTTTTCTACAGTACAATGACGATTTTACCCTTGGAAACCACGCGTCTGTCATCAGTGGTTCTTCCGCTCCAGTTCTACTCTGCCTTTTCTTTGGGTTCCCTTCTCTCTCTCTCTCTCTCTCTCTCTCTCTCTCTCACCATTTTCAGCTTTTCCTTATTTTGGAGCCTAGGTTTTTTCTCTCTCCCACGCCTTCGTTGTTCTCGCTATCCGTCCTTCGCGTCTATGTCTCGCCGATTATTCACGGCCGTTTTCTTCTCAGAAATCTAACGATCTCTGGTGAGTTTTTTGCGTTTCTTGCCGTGTCTAATTTCAATTTTTTTTTTTCGTTGTTTGGGTGTGTGTGGCTTTGCGATGCGGTTTGATTTTTGGTTTCAGGAAAAGTTATCAATGCGATCTAAGGTTTTTTGGTGAGTTTTCTGCTTTGCTGATTGTATGTTGTTTGATTCTTTTTTCGTGCTTTGGGTCTGCCTTTCTGATCTGCTTTCATATTTGGTTTCAGCAAAAGAAGTTGTTTTAATTTTGGCCTTTCTGTCTGCAACCTGGCAAGCTGTTTGCGATCAAGGTATTTAACTTTTTTTTTTTTGGTGCTGGTTCTTTCTCCGGTGATGGCATGTTTGATTGGTCAAAAAATGAAATAATAAATTATGAGATTTACTGAATTATGCTTCATTTAATTAAATCTTTGGTTTTGTTGGGTTGTCATTGTTTGGCCTGTTCTAAACTTATATGTCTTGGGTTGTCAATTTTTTTCGGTTGTCATTTTTTCCTTTTATTTTCTGCTGGAAACACTATTATATTCATGCTAATTTTGATGAAAAGGAAATGTGTTTAATTGAAGGGTTAAATATGTATGAAGCAGGACATAGTATGCTATAAGACATTTTTCCTTTTATTCTCTGTTTCTTCGTTATCGATTTCATAGGATTTGGGTTTGGGCAGATCAATCCTGCAAACCGCTTCAATAACATGTCTTGGAACTCAATTGGCCACTATCAGTGCAGTCTCCATATTCTTGGTAATACACCAGAAGCAATCATCTCATGGCTTGAAAAGGATGGAAAGACAGAATCCAGGGCAATCACATAGCATTAACTCATCAGACATAATCAACATTTGGAAATGCTTTGTCTTATTTATTTATTTGATTAACAATTCAAACTTATCTTTGTATTTATTAGTATCTTCATTTCCTTGACAATTCAAGCATATCTTTTTTGTGTTTCTTTTTTTTCTGAGTGTTTAATTTTATTTGAATTTCTTAATTTGTTCAAAGGATGCTTTGTTTAGTAGCCATCTTATTTAATGATTTTTTTTTTCTTTTGGTTTTTGAGCACCAATGGTATTGGTGAATGGTGAAGAGGTTTGTATGGGTTCATGTATCTTAAACATGTAGTGAGAAGTGAGGGTTTTGTTTTAGTATTTTAGATAATTTGAGGAACATGTAGATACTAAGATTTGTGGTTGCTTTCTTAAACCATGATAAAGCAGTCCATGTAATTTTAACATAGATATATTTTTTTATCTAATGCTTGAGTATATGAATTGTTAATACGATAATATATTGGGCAACACTATGTGATTTAAAATGCGAAGAGAGACAATGAACCATGTTTGATATTTTATTTGTGTTGGCTGTTTTAAATTTGAGCTTTTTTGAGTTGGATTCATGTGTTTTGTTTAAGATATCATTTTTGGTTTATGAATGGTTTGCAAGTGTGAAAGTTTGCTTATTTTTTATGGTTGGATTCATGGGTTTTCTTAAGCTTTGAAGTTCTTAGTTTTTATCAAGAAATTTAATCTGGGTTTCATTTATTTGTGAAACTAGCACTTTTTTGTGAAGATTTTCAGTAAATGATTGCTTATTTGGCTTTAAATTTGATCTCTTTAAATTTTCAGGTTGTTCTAGACTTTGTCAACAGTGCAGAGTTGTCTTCGGCAGAGCTCGATAGCAACTCTAGGTCAGTCTGAATTGCCAGTAGATATGATTTTTGTTTAATTTATTCATCTTCTTTCAAATTTATGTGCAAATATTTTTGAAGCTCAAGTGATTCAAAGTTCAAATTTATTTGTAAAGTATAAGTGTGGGTGTGGACACCCAATATAACTTTTACATGGTGTTGCTATCTGGTATTTGATAGAATTATATTGGGGACTGTCTAAATTTTGGGTTTAGCTGCAGATGAAGCAAAATAAAAAGGTTATAAATTAGAGGTATAATTTAATTATTATATTTGATGCGTCATTTGATTAAATGAATACAGTAGGAACATTGATTTGACGTATGTGCTTTCGTATGGAAAACTGAATTTTGTGTGTTTATAAGTGCATATATACTCAATATTTATTTTAATTACAATGGAATTGACTGAAAATTATGGAGAATTAGTGTAAATTTACACACTTGAAGAAATAGAATGAAAATGTAAGTAAAGAAAAATTAGAATGTAATACATAATATCTTTGTGTGTGTGTGTGTGTGTGTGTGTGTAAGGGATTGATGACTAAATGTGCTACGTTAAGAGATTGCTTATTTCGTTAGTTAAGGGCAGCAGTTGATAGAAGCATAACCAAACCCAGATAAGAGTCACATTTTGGTTGCCTTCCTGTCCTTATTTTTTGTATTTTTCACTTAGCTCTATGTTGTTAACTGCAAATTTTGGTATTTTGTTCCCTTTAGTTTTATCTACTAATTATTGTTCTACGAATTGTATTCTTCAGTTAAATAATGATTAACTAGAATGTTCCAAAAAAAAAAAATAAATAAATAAAATCAAGCATTGCAGTGTTCGGTATGATAATTTACATCCAATATGATCATTAGCCAATCGAGAACCTAATTTGGGAATTGGGTTTTAAAGTTTTAATAGTTTTGTTGTGTGTAAATTTCTTGCTTTACCTACCAAGAATCTAATAACAAAAGGCTTAGTTATTTTCCCCAAATGGTTTTCAATTTGTTGTAGGTAAACAAGAGCTACTGGACTATTATGCACAGGGGAATGGAAGGAAAGTAAAAATTCAGGCTTTTAATACAAATTGGAAATTGAGCGACACTAAACAAACGATAGGTAAAACTAACCACTACATTCTTTCCATTTAAATATAAATCAATTGATTAAGTCTGTGTTTTAAAATGAAGTTTCAATTGTTTTCCATATAAAGTTTCCATTTTTCTTTAGAGTAAGAGAAGAAGCTTTAATTTGGATTTACAATTTTTCCCTTTGCAGATTTTCAAAGTAGGACCAAGCTTTCAAAAGGCACTTCAGGTTCTGGATTTTTTTTTTTTTTTTTTTGTTATGCTTTTGTTATATCAGGTTCTAAATTGCGCAACACAATTTGTCCCTTTGTCTAATCTACTCCAAAGACAGGCTGAGCAAAAGGAGGAAAGGTTTAAGCAGGTATGTGTACTGTGTGTTTTCATCAATACTTTCTCAGAATGTGCCTTCATTGTTAGTTTCTGTACTATTTTTCTCTGTCTAAAAATTTGAAATAAATATGATCTTTTCACTATCGCTTCTCCTTCCAAGTTTTTTCCACATAAAATAAAACAACAAATAAATATTTTGTTTCCCTTTTTCTACTTTATTCTTTGCAGCAAAACAAGCATGATTTTGTTGGTACTGATTATTTAGTGAAGCAACGGTTTCATATTGTGAACTGTTTTGCGTGTTTAACACTTTATTCTTTATGGTTTCAGTTTCCTAAATGAAGTTTGACATGTATGGAATTTGACAATTTACAACCATAAACTTCATTTCGCCCATGGACACCAATTTTGTTCCTTATTGTTGATAGAGTTGTAAATAAATTTGCACATGTATGTAAATAGTATTGTCTACTGTATATACGTATATAATTTTTTTAGAAATTCTATGTGTTATACAATTTTCATTCCCGCAGCAACGCGCGGGCACCCTTGCTAGTGCTACACTAAAAAGTAAAGTCATAGTTGCGTTCATGGAAAGGAATGAGGATGACTACAAGTAGGGAAATTAAAGAGATTCCCTAATGAGAGCTGGAAGGCAACCTACGACTTCCCTTTCGAATCCTTTGGTTTCCTCATTTCTTTTTATTCTGGCTATGTCTTGCTTCTTATTTCTCTGGATGCAGCTATGACTTCCCTTTTTGGTGTAACATCCAAGAACGCCTGCTTGTCTCGTAAAGTATGGCTGCGCACCATGCCCACAACACCATTTTCCATGGTCAATTTCCAGAGCTTACTTTTGGCAACGCTCCTTATTTTCCTTCCTCGTTTTCCTGTGTACTATGCTTGCGCGTGAGTTTGGAGGCAATGCAGCTCTGGGCTGTGGTTTCTTCCTAAGTATCCTAGTTAGTTTGCAATGAGAACGGGAAACTTGGTTTTGTTTGAGTGATTAGAGTGATTACTTTCTAATATTTGTACTAAAAAAAAGTTCAGTCGTTTTTGCTTCCACTTATTGCATATTGCATGGGATGAGGATTCCAAGATTCTCACATCCTATCCGTTCATCGTACATCGTACTACCAGCTTTTGTTAAGTATTGTTTGTATTTAATTTTAAACAAAAAAATTCAAAATAATCTCTAACTGCACAATGTACGAACGAATAAAATGTAAAAATCCAAATCCTATTAGATGTATCTTTTTTTTAAAAAGTTCAATTTTAATGCTTTAAAATAATCTCTTCGGGTAAGATTTGTTGGACTTTGATGCCATGAATTAGTATTACGTATTTCCCTTGCCCTCCATTTTTCTGTTCTCTTTTTGTGATACGTGGTGAATGGTTTCAAGATTTGGTTGTACTTTTCACTCTTTAGTTACTACTCTGTCCATCAACATAGGCCACCCAACCAAGCGTTTTGACCTCGATATCGACACTGGCAGTGACCTTACTTGGATCCAATGTGATGCTCCGTGTACTGTTTACACCAAGGCAAAACTTTAATGACCTAATGACTCTGTTCTCACCCTGCACTTGTGTGTCTGCACGGACGCGCGTTTGCAGCCCCGTGAGCATCTTTATAAACCCAGCAACAATCTTGATTGTTACAACAGTTACATTGTCTGCTACTCTAGCAGAGAAGAAAAAGCGATGTTAGTTTTCTCCGTCTTACAACTTAAAATGTTAAATCAGGTCAGCGGGTAACCCTAGTACCCGATAATACAGATATTCGTTATATAGATAATATTCTTGTATGGCAATGCCCCTGATCCATCTCTACTACAAACTGGTTGCATGAATCTTGAGTGACAAGAAAGGCGCAACTCATCTGCTATCGTTTCCAAAGCTATTCCTAGATTAGAGAAGGATGACGGTAAACAATGAGAGACATAGATCAATCTGGTTAATTTTCTCATTCTGTACAAAATACATTACACCTGCTCAGTACCTGCAAGAAGTGCAGATGTTGATTCATCACTACTATTTTCATGACTTGAAGGAAAAAACGGATGTACTCTTCTTTTTGCATTATCTGTTTGAGAAAAATGCTCAACAATGTTTCCGGTATGAATTAATTTATAATTAGTTCAAACCGATCATATCTACACCAAAAGGTTTCCGGTACTTTTGTTTTCGTTTCATGAACTGAACCATATAAATAAAACTAACCTGAAATATCAAGCGATTAAGTATGACGATGGAGGAGAGCATGCTAAATTACACGATTTGCACACTGCATATTACAAAGATTTTAGTCAGCTAAAAATGAAAAGACCAGGATCAACATCAAACTAATTTGATGCAATAACAGGGCATGATAACAGCAACCGAGGAAAAGAGAGACTATACGAGAATAGTTGAAAAGATTTCTGGTGTAAATGAAAAGAGAAGAAACAAATGGTAGATCAACATAACGCAAAATCACGTCAGAAAAAAGCAACCAGATAATCACCTTCGCATGGCAAATCTTTGTTATAGCCTCAACATGAAGGTTCTGCAGTTCTTCAAGAGTAGTGACATCAAGACCAGCAACATCTTCACCCTGAAATTTAATAAATCTTTCTCAACTCTTTTGATCTATTTTGATGACTTTATGAGGTAAAACAGAGTATGTTTAGGGTGAAGCTTTTATTCCTACAAACAGTTCTAAATATGAAAACTTCCGTTCAGTCACTTTTTGAAACCACAGGGGACGCATCACAAAAAAACCACGGGATTATCCATGGAACTGGGGTAAACCACAGATGGCTATCTGTACTTTCCCTAAAGATAAATCAATAAAGCATGTACCTTAAGTCTAGAGATATAGCATTCTAACTCTTTGCATCTTCTCCTTTCTTTCTGATAGCTGGTTCTTAAATCTTCCAATGTACCCATCTCATTTAGGTTTTCAGGGATTCCATCGTCTTTGAAAATAACTTCTGAATGACCATTACTTGGAAGAAACCCATTTTTTACTCTTGTACGTGAACTTTCAGATAGATGAACCCCGTCGAGTGACACATCCTCGGAATTAATGCCAGACTTTCTCAATTGTGCAACCAGCACCCACATGTTTGCCAGCTCATTTTCTAAATCAACTTCACGTTGTTTTACTTTATCTAACATTCTTCGCAAATCATCTTCTGTCTGATCTCTCTCAGATAATTCTTTCTCCAGAGAAGCTTCTCTTTGGCATCTTGCACTAAGTTCCCTCTGCAGCTCCTCAACCAAAACTACATCCTCTGGCCTTTTATGGCCTCGAGGACCATTTAAGCCATTTTTCTTGAAATCATATGAAGTAGACCTCTGACAATTTGATCGGCACTGAACCTCCTTTGCCGCAGCAAGGTCACCAGTCAGCTTTGCATTTTCATAAGAAAGTTTGGTTACTTCTTGAGCCAAGTTTCTAAGCTCAACTGCTGCAGCTGCGGCCAGCTCTTTGGCATATGAAGCTTCTTCTGAAAGTTTCATATTCTGAACTTCAAGCCCCTCCTTTTCTTCGGACAGTCTCACCTTATCTTGCTTTAAGTCCTCTATTTCAGAAGTCTGAGAAAATAAATTAAAAAAGCACTGGTGACAACATATCCCCGTCAAGTAAAACTAAAAATATCATAAGGACAAAGGGTCTATATTGGGTTTCTTAGTTCTGAAGATGCAAGGAAAGAATAGGAATAACCTGTACATGGATTTGGGAATTCAGATACGCATCTTTGTTGCAGTCTTTGGAGTCATCGAGCGAAAAGATTCTGTTTAAGCTCATCACACTGGTTGGTGTATTTTCATCAGCACAAGTTTCTTGACACAGACCAAACCTATCCCTTTTTTCATTGTTCTTTTGCACTAGCTCTTTGGGATATGTTTCGAGTCTAGTAGCCTCACTATCAGCAATTTGTTGTGAACTGAGCTGTTGTCTTAGCAGAAGAATCGTTTCTTGCATTTCTGCATTCTCAGAAATCTGCAAAAAGCAACAATATGATGATAAAAAATTCAAAAGTTAAAGACAGAAATGCAAGTACATGAAAAGGAATTTTGAACTTCTTTATAATTTACCTTAATCTGTAGTTGTTCCTGAAGTATCCTATTGTCAGCTGACTTAATCTTGAACGATCAACCGAAGACAGAGAGATAATTTAGTATGATGTCTTTAGCATTCTAAATTGAAAAAAAAATCATCTTTATTATGAAAGATTCAAGAATAACAAACCTCAAGTTCAAAAGTTTTCTCATTTAACTGTGTAGTAAGCTTGGACAGAGCCTACATGAGGATGTAACAAACTCATCAGAAAGCATGTACATGCAGGATTTACATACTGGAAAAACCAGCAATGCTTTATTAAGCATATGGTTAAGGAACCGAATAAATGAAAGCCAACACAACCAAAATATGAACATAACAGCGACAAACTCATCCCGTATTATATATAGAAGGATCATACGAGATGGAGTTTTACTTTTTCAACCAACAATAAAGTGGGACATTATAATAATAGTCTACTAGGCTAAGGTTCTTGAACACACTTTCCTTTTGGCTAAAATCAGGACATGTTTTATTTTCTCGATTAGCTCCCTTACATAATTAATTGATCTTGTTATATATGATCCCTCAACCGATGATTTGTGCTCCTTTTTTTGTTATACTAGATTTATTCAATCCCGTGAAATTAAAAAAAAACAGACCAAAGGATTTATGATTACATGGGGCATGTAACAAGGGACCTTCTCTGCTGAAATGGTTTTAGAAAGTTTAACTATACTAACAATCACTCAGAGTAGAATATGAAATAGGAAATAACAATGCCCCTTTTGTATTTACAAATTTGTATAGCCATGAGATATTGTTATCGGATTATCTGTCAGTCAGTTCAAAACATTTCATACAGTAAAATCATCATCTAACTGCTCTTAAAATCCATCAGCCTAGAAGACGCATAGTTTACCTGAGACATTTCAATGTTATTTGACATTTGTGGAGACCTCTCGAGTGATCCAATCATGCGTTGCTCTAGAACACATATCTGAAGCTTCTTTTCACTAATTTCCTCCTTCAACTTTTGCATTTGTTCCTATTTTAACAAATATTACCAAAAAAAAAAAAAAAAAAAACCTTAGACAAGAATACCAATCAGATTTAGACTTTTGTTCTTTAAGATGAATCTAAAGAGATGCCTCACCTTAAGCTGTGAATCTTCAGGGTTTGTAGCCGCTTGCTCTGAAAGTCTTTTGAGAGAACTTGTACACAATGCCACCTCCCCAGCTAACATTTTCACTTGCTCACGAAGAAGTTCGATTTGATCTGTAATTGTGGACCCAGTCTGTGGAAGGATAGTTATAGTAAATATGTTAACATGATCAATTCATGCTACAATAAGAAATACCTGCTGATGCTACTTCCTACAAATAAATAACAACCTAACTGCATGCACACACACTCAACCACTCCAAAATTCTCTCTATTATATATGCATGTATTCACTTGGAACAGATTTTATCAATGTAAAGCAAACACCACTCACCCGAGGTAAACGGCAACCTGCACCAAACAAATCACCTGCTTGGGTTCTTTCCGGACATGGGTTAATAATGGTATAATCATCTCCCTTTCTACTGACAGAATTTCTTTTTCCATCCTTCACATCACTAAATTTGACTCTATTTTGAGAAGATATTGAACAAGCTGCTGGTGACCCACTTGTAGAGCTCTCACTATCGCCGCTCGATGATAATCCAACAAAATTCTCAGGTTTCTGTTGAGAAATTGAGCTTTGTCTAGGTGAGTTCAATCAGTAGAATACTAACGAATGATACAAATGAAATCTGGATTTTCTTTTGCATAAATAAAATGAAAAAACAAATCTTAATAGTGCATATTAACAAAAAAATATAAAGATAGATAACTATACAGATGATGGCTCAATTAAAGCCAACAAAACAAAGTGTAGATTGAAAGCAAGCATTGACTTAGGAAGGAGAGGACTGTCATCTCATCAACTACATCCTATGTTTTCTCCTCTAACAAACAACCTAAATATATGAAGTCCATAATCAACACAGGCGTTAAAGGAGAAAACGGGAACTTACTTTCAATTTAAACCATCCTAGCATTCCACGCTTTTTGTTTCTTTTGTAATCTTTGACCAACTCATCTAGATTAGTGATCTCATCTCTTCCTTCCACTGAAATCTCAGACGCATAACTTCCAGCATCATCATCAACAAGGTATTCCCGTTTCTTGTCAGGCAGATATGCAAGCTGCATAAAAAGGAGTTGGTTGGTAAATCTAATAAGATATGGCCAATAATTTACAGTTTCTAGTGTGACAAGGTCAAATCATTAAAAAAATTATTCCTCAAAAGTCAAAATACAAATTCAAAGAATCTACAATCCACCTTCACTGCATGAAAATCCTAAATCACCCACCTCATCTTCCCCAAAAGAATGTCTCCGTCTATGGCTAGGTCGTTCAGATATGCTTGGCGGGATAGTATTTTTCGTGGAAACTAAGATTAGTTTAGTCAATCGTTGTATCCTTCCCATTAAAGCTGCCTTGGCTTCTTCTTCCTCTTCCAATCTTGACCGCAACTTTACCTGACCAGCTTCCAGCTTTAACATGATGAAACAATATGTATTAGAAGCAAACAACAAACGACTAAATCCTGGATAAAGTTAGCTGTTTATATGTCTACACAGCAAAGAATCCCATTTTCAACGGGAGACAATAACTGGCATTAGGGACTTCATACATTCTGTAGCTTACACCTCAGGGAATTGTAACATTGCACTCAAGTCTAGATTACCATACTGTTCTAAGGCAAAAGAATAAAGTTATCATATTGGTCTAGCCCTCCGGTTATATATATGGTTCTTCTGTCCTAAGGACCTCAAATATGGTCCCATTTTTCAGCAGATCGACCAAATATGGGTGGATGAAATGCAAAACAGATTAGATGCATCTCAATGCATACCGTGCATCCATCTCTTATCTAACGACTAGGAGACAGAAATATAACTTCATTCAAAAACCTTAGTTAAGGACCTTAGGACAAAACTTTTATTGATTACTACCTAAAGAACAAATATAAACCAAAATATGCTAGTTTTGTTACTTCACACAATGTAGCAGCACCAACCTGAAGCTTCAAATTAACCAGGTCTTCCTGAATAGTTGGAGTCATATTTGGATTCTCCATCATGCCACGTCTTAATTGCTGAAGTTCTTGCTTTAAACTGGAAATTTCTTTCTGATACTTCTTTATAAGAGACTTTTCATCCACAATCTAAAAGAAAAAGTCAAGAACGAAGAAATTGTAAGCTGGGACTACAAATACTCAATATTTCTATTAGTGCCACTCTACATAAAAGTAACTCTGAGATTCACCTTATTTTGGGAAGCCTTGAGTTCCACATGCTTGCTCCGGTGAGCAAACTTCAGTGTGTTGTGTGTCTCCTCACTATTGCTTGATGCAGGAGTCACGGTGCAAATAAGCTGAACTCACCATAACAAGAACATCCTCCAGAATCATTAATCACATCACTATTAACAAAAAAGATACCTTACGTGACAATTAATTGGATAGTTGTAAAGACAAAATATGATCACACGGACACTAGACGATCCAGAAGTATTGCATTGAACTTACAGATACACGTCCATGACCACTTAGGGATGACTGCAATAAACGGGTGAGTTTTGAATCTCGATATGGAACATGAGTTGCCTTTCCATCTGTCAATTTAGAAATCACCTGCAACAAGAGACAACTTTTAGATTAATTGCTTGCCTGCAACAAGAGACAGTTATTAGATTAATATCAGTGCAAATATAGGCACATGAAGAATCTGAAGCTCTACATCTGATAGCATTTTATTACAGAGTCCACCAGTTCTCCAACATCACGCCATGATAAGTAATTGAAGAACCACGGCATAGTTATTTTTTTTCTTCATATTTTGAGATTTTTATGCACAATTATACCGATAAGTGATAAACATGAGAAATGTGCAAACCAAAACATGCTATAATTCTAGAGCATATTTATTGCAGTACCAATAATGTTGGGAAGAAGAAAAGACATTGCATGAAACAGTAAAGGGTTAAATTATGTTAATAAGTTGAATTCTGGGAATTATTTTTACTTTAAACACTACAAACCCAATCAAAGAAGACCTAAGATAAGAATTATCTTACAGTGCCAAGCGTAAGTAAGCTTTTATTGATGTATGAGCCCTCCCTTCTTCGCAATCCAGTTGTTTCAGTTTTAGAACTCTCAGATCCTGCAAGATCAATTAAGTGCTGCCAAAAAAAAATTGAATTGTGTAGGGCTCAGCATCAGATTGTAACAAAATATTTTAATTTATATCTAAATCCACCAGATTGTAGGGCCAGATTGACGAAACTATGGTGAGCAACTTTAAATTTCAAAGATGAGAAGACATTACCAACTGGGACAAGGTGACATCTTCTTTATCATGATTTTCACCACGTGGACTGCTTTCAATAGTCTGATGAATTGTTATATATTAGCAAAGTGGAACAAAAAGTAATACAATAAATACAAGAGGGAGGAACCACTTCATGAAGGTCTAATAAGTTTAGTTGCCATCAATTTTACTTGACAAAGAAAATGCTAGCATATGAACAACTTACTACAATATCTCTAAATTAGTCAGCGGATGGTTATTCACTTGTTTTTTAAAGGGTGTTTACATTTAAAAGAACTTCCTTTCCCCAATCAGTGGTTTTGAGTAAATTAGAAACTTATAAAAGACTAATCTGAAAGGGTAACCTACCAGAATCTTGTATAACATTATAGACACCTTTATCACATAGTAATTAAAGATAGTTACCAATGTGAATATAGTGTGGCTGCGACTGCTAAGCAGATTGAAATTATTAGAACCAACATGCCTATGCTCTGCAATAAAAGAAGAAGAATGTTAAAGGTGCTCAGCAGTAGAAACAGTGGCTGGAAAAGATACAGAGTATATGCAGATAGGGAAAAAAACAACCAACAAGGTGGAACAATGGAAAAGGAAATATAGTGCTCATGAATGCATATGAAATCGTAGTATTTGAGACCGACACGAGTACCAAGTAGAAACAACAAAGCTTCTGCCTGGATCATGTAGACAAACGAACTCATGTTAATACCTTCTCCTGTTGCTATCAAGGAAAGAGCATGAGCAGGAGATAATACAACTTCCTCTTTGATTGCTTCAACATAAGTTCCCTGCCCAGTAAAATTGTTCCAAATGATAAGGTTAATGACTTACAAAATGAAATGCAGGTACAAATTAAGTGAAATAAAGTAGAACCAGATCTGAAGGGTTTAGGATATAAGATTTATAATTTAGGTTTTACTTTTGAGTAAATGTCAAAGGAATCAAAGATGTAAAGACAATTTCATAAAAGAAAAATGAATGCCAAAATAACTACTAGTTTGAGATGACAAATTCCATCACACATATGAGAGAAGGGGAAGAGATGAAGCTGAGCATGGAAGAACTGCAGCCTGAGGTAATAATTAATGAATAAGAGTGACACCTAAAGGGTGGCCCAGTTCACACTCACACCAATGCATGGTCTAGGGAGGGCAAGGCATGTGTTACCATACACATGTATCCAGCGAGATTTCTTTCAGGACTCAACCCCCATTTGCTAGGTGGATCGTGGCAAGCCATACCATTGTATATGAACTAGATGCTTTCTAGGACCTGAAACTTTCTCATTAACATAGTTTAAAACACATCTCTATCCAAAGCCCACATTCTAACTGATTTCTAGAGTTTGATTATGTAGGTAAAAATCCAACAGGTGGCCAAACACCCTACTCAAGCCAACTCCATGTGCATAGACATATAGTTTTCCTGTAATATACTCATTTCATTTTGCTCTTAGTCATACAGATAATCTAGTCAAAGCATTCAAAATCCAGTATGTAGATTTATAGAAAGAAAAAAAAAACATGCAAGAAACTTGAGGAGAATATTAACAGTCATCTCTGAGCAAAAAATACAAAGAGTCTTAATTCCTTTGTGAACATAAGCACCTGAGCATCCTCTCTTATTCGTAGGTTCTGTCCTGTTGGATCAAGTAAGTCATTTATGACCTGGAAAAATAAAAGGGCTATAAAAAGTAAGTTGGTAATAATAACAAAGAGAAAGCTGCACTCCTAAGGTCTTTATTTTGAGGACCTGTGAGGTCCTCTTTTATATGAGCCTTCAGATTAATAGTACGGTAGATTAAGCCATCAACCTAAACAATTCTTGTTACAAGGAAACAAATACAAATTGATAAAACAAAAAAAACAAAAAAAGAAGCGAAGAAGGTTTCACGTCATGTCAAATCCCTTCCATCTGCAAAACCTAGCCTCCTCATCAAATTTCATCTAATATTTTATCAGTAATATTCAAACCCAGTTAGTTACAAAGCACCAAAAAAATTGAGATTGTGTGGTTTTGAAAAATGGGATTCCCTTCTTCTTGAACTTGTGAACTCTTTTCTCATATCAAGGCTTCCCAAGACGGTAAAAAAATTGAAACAAGTCCCTCTCCCTTTTACATACGCGAAAATGAAAAAACCAAAAGCTCAGGAGGTGAGAAGGGTAGTGAGCAATCGAAAGAGAGAGAGATGGAGAGAGGAAGGGGATGTGGAGGAGAGAGATGGTAGGGGAAGAAGACGGAAGGTTTCACGCAAGAAATTTTTTTTAAACATAATCACTTCACATAATTATTGTGTTTCGGTGTAATAGGGATAATTTAAGTTAGCTTAATCTACCATAAGATTAATCTGAGGGCTTATATGAAAAAGGACCTCACAGGTCCTCAAAATGAGGACTGTAGGAGAGTACTTCTGATAACAAAGACATGACAAATTGGCTCATGTTTTTGACATTTTGACAAAAAGAAATTTCTTTTTTTATATTTTACATTTTGTTAGTTCAGTAAAATGAAGACTCCACAGGATCTAGCAAACAGAATCATCTACTAAGTTAGTGATATTTGTTATGTAAAAGTGGTCAATCACATTTACCACAAGGACACAAAAGTAAGAGACGAGTATGTGTGCCTAAGATATTAAATGTTGAAACCTCAATGAGTAATAACTTTATTTAGAAAATATAAAAACTATAAATCTGAGGAACATAGTATAGGACTTTGGATGAAAAAAAAATTATGGCTTAGATCCTTTTTTCTTTTTATATTTTATTTTCATATTCCTTTTGTCTTCAGGCGAATCCAAATTTCAGTTAAATCATCATCTACCAACAAAATTCCGTAAAAATAAGGTAACCCAAGTGCCAAATCATTTCCAGTTTTCCTTATTATTCATAAGAGAACTTTTTTTATCATCACTACCACAGAAACTCTCTCATCAATGCCGTGAGTCCATGTGCACTTTCATGCTCATTTTTTATAATATTACCAAACAGTGATTGAAGCCTCTGATCTATCCAATGCTTGGCTACTCCTCTCTTCCAACTTACATGCCCAATTAATAAAAGAACTATTTAATAATCCTCATCAACCTTCCATTTGTCCTCATTTCCTAAATTCAAGTTTGCAAAACCAAAGCAAGCTCAATACTAGATTCTTGTGATCACAAGAAGTTTTCAGTGAAATTCTCAAATATCTAAAAGTTTCTAACTTAATGAAGGGGCATCCTGGACTCATTACATCAGATCCTTTGCAAGCATTACTCTTTGGTTATTGAATCATTCTTGGTTCTGAGTCTTCAGACACCACATGATATTTTAATACAGTTGACTGAACGGTATCTGGTATCCCACTATCATAGCAAAAAGCTCATTACCTCTTGTCCAAAGTTATGTAATGTAACTAGCTCCCTAACCAGGACAATTTTCAGTGGCGTGAAACAAAGTGGGACACGCCCAGCAAAGTAAAGTATAAATTCCCAGGTCATAACAGTTTTTGCATGTATACCATTATTACCTAACAAAAAGCCACTTCAAAATAATACATACAACAATGACCAGACTCCAATTGAAAGCTTTGCACAACGCAACTAGAAAAGACTGACCTCATTGTATATTTCCAGATATGAAACACGAAGAAGAAACTCCCGCCCAGGTGTCTGATACATGATTAAAGTTATCTAAACTCATAATACAATACATAAATTAAAGAAAATAAGATTACCAGCTAATTAGAAACATGTCCTTTACCTCCTGTATAATTCCAAAAACATCCTTCACTGCCAGTGGAATAATTCCTGGTGACTTTTGCTCCCCCTGGAATACAAAATGTAACTACAAATTTGTACTTTGTATAATTTGCAAACATTGAAATATTGAAACGCACACGATATACGTCACAAAAAGTTCCACAATGAGAAAGAAAACTGCAGGAAGAATAAGAAGACGTCTCAATTTTCTTTCAAAGGAATTCCCCTTCGCTGGGGTGAAATAAAGGAAAATGCAACTACGAAGGCTGCTTATGACATGGGCCCTGTTTCAATCGCATCAATGCATTAATCTCAGCAAGAGATTGCCAATACAAAATCTGCGTACAGTTGGTAGTCATGAAGTGCAAAATATACGGGTGAAAATACTGGCCTAGAAGTGACAATGTAAGACTTCAGATAGACAATCTAGACCACCTCTACTTACATGCATTGTATGTGTTTTCCCACTACTAGTAACCCCATATGCAAACACGGTACCTGCATAAAAACAGAGCATCTTTAGCCAACATAAGCAAACACAGTACCTATGGCACCACACGCATATATCTTCAAATATATACATATAACCGAATTATAGGAACGAGACAGTCTATGACTGGTAGCTATTTGGTTTTGGAAGTTCTAGTTGAGATATCAAAAAACAAAATGACAACGAAAAAATGAAAAGTACCAATTGTTATTACTTAAAACCAAACTCAGTGAACTATTTACCATTAATCCCTTGCATAACACCACTAACAACGTGTTGTGCGGCAACATCATAGACATGGCGTGTCGTCGTTGCTGGACCAAAAACCTTATCTGCAGCACCAGTACCGCATATGAGCAATTACAAAACACCATAAAATTCGCATTACTTCAAGATAGCCAAGCAAATAGATAAAGCAGTGCGTAACTTCAAAATGCAGCTTATGAGTAGCAAATACTCGTGTCTATAACTATAATAACTAAATATAACTGAATCAACGGCATGAAGTAAATAAGCAGCAAAAGAAAATAATAATAAAAGAAATTCAAAAGCAAAATTAATGTAAAAAATTAAGAAAACTAACCGAAACCGTAAACAATGCAGGAATTGGACTCGTTCCTGACTGTATAATCGCCATCAGCATACCACGCTATTTCGTCCCCTTTGTTAATCTCCCGAGCACTGCACAAATCGAAAGTCAAAATTGGTAAAAATGCACAATTCAACAAAAAAGATCAGAACTTTTTGTCAAAAACGTGAAAAGAAAGCACCATGGCGGTAGGTGACGGCCCAATCGGAGAAAGAAGAGTACCTGAGGGGACGAAAGCGGACAGTGACGGTGACATTCTCCTTGGACTTGGAGACATCGGGCGGGGACGGCAGGGACGGCGGGTTTGGGCTGGCGGAGGAGAAGGCCGGAGACAGAGAGGGCTTGGACGTCGTGGAGGAAGAAGGGGTGGCAGGGCGAGGCGAGGGCGTAGGAGGCTTGGTGGGTCCGGAGGACTTCCGGGAGCGAAAAGGCGAAATGGAGGACCTTTGAGACCTTGAGCTGGAGGTGGTGCCGGAGAACATTGCTGGGTGCAGAAAGAGAAAGAGGAGAGGCCGTCAGAGTCCGGCGGGAGGTGCTGGGTGTGAGAAGGCCGGCCGGCGGCTACTGCTGGGTGCACCGGGCAAGGCAGCTGGGTTTTGGGTGTGAAGAGAATCGTCCTCCCTCCAAAAACAAGGACTTTTGGTGGTTTTTGAATTGAAAAAATTGTCTTTTGTCTGCGCTTGTTGGTTGTGGCTTTCGATGACTCTGGAAATGTCATAATTGCCCCTCAGATGATTCCCTGTTTTTAATTTTTTTATTGTTTTTTATTGGAAGAATATGTAGATTTCGGTCAAGTTTTGTGTTTGGCGTTTGGTATGATTACCAATTGACCTTTTCAACATTTTTTTATACCACTTTAAAAATGTATGGAAAATTCAGAACAATAACTAAATTTTAGACCCGATATAGATTTATAATCATGATAATGAAAATCGAAAATCAAAAACAAAAATTTCTAAACAAATGATATTATGTACACTAGAGAGAAAAAGTGGGCTTAACCTCATAATAGGCTAGCAATAATGTGGTCCAAACTCGTTTTTGGAAATAATCGAACATAAAGTCTCTTATTTACAAGTGAAAAATAATACCACTCGACTGTAGTACTAAATGGCATAATTATCAAAAGTTGATCTAAAAGACTATACACTTCCTCATTTTCTTTGCTCGTACACGTTGTTTCTATGCTTGCAATTTACTGATTCTATATAAAATTGAACCCCATATAGAATTGGACCCTACTTTTGCAATTTACTGATTCCATTTAGTTTACGATGCATACCTCCTCCGTTCAAGTTGAGTGAGAGAAAGACATCATATTTTGTACAAAATATTTCTATTGAGCAATGTTTTAAAAAACTCGTATCAGGGCGCGCCTATGCAGCTAGATTTTAGCCTTTGTTTTGTGGGAGGTAGGGGTAAGGCGGTGATAGGATGCGCCTAGGCGTTCAACTTGGGTCTTTTTTTCCTTCAAAATTCATGTCTGCTTCTAAAATGCAAGAGACTGATCTAGTTTAAACAAAGAAGAAAGAAAGAGTTTCTCTCTCCAAACCCTACGTGACAAAGTCTAACTTTACCTATTTTCTATTTTTTTATATTTAATTGTTGCTCATTTAGATTCCGCCACCTAACATTTTAATTGGCAAAGTTTCATTTCTCTTCAAATTCCCCATAACTGCTTCACTGAGCCTTTATTTTCCTTCAAATTTCATATAACAATTGATTCACTCAGCCATTATTTCATTTTAAATCCCCCATAATTTATCCACTCAACCTTTATTTCCTTTGGAATTTCCCAATAATTGTGATGTTCATCCTTTATTTTCCTTGAAATTCTCTACAATTATGACCACTCACCCTTATCTCTCTTAAAGTTATCTATAATTGCTTACAATAAAATAAATAATTACAACTAGACTTAGTAATGAAGAGATAATATTATCTTTGATTTTTCTTTTTGAGAATAATTATCTTTGATTTAGTTATAATTATCTTTGTTTTACAAAGTATTATATTTTATAAATATATATATATATGTATATATATATATATATTAAAATTTTAAGTACCATGAGCTTTCGCCCATCTGTAGGCGAGGCTATCTATAGGACGCCTTCGCCTTTTAATACTTTGCTATTGAGTTGCCTTCATCTAACTGGAGCTGAATTCGATAGAGTAAACATGGAATCTCTCTAGATGGAGGATTTCTTGTCTATAGGGCGAGTTAAGAAGTTGAGTTCGAGTATCTCCTTGGGAGCCTCGAGTGGCTCGACAAGGCCAACCAGCTTCGCAACAAGGACGACTCTCTCCCAGATGTGCCCCATGTCCACTGTGCTCGTCCAAATCACTTTTGGTAAAACCTTTCTTTCTTCGGTACTTTCTTGGCTAACATTTCTCTCTCACGCTTAAGAGCCTCCATGCTGTTTTCGATTACAAATTAAAAAAAAGGGGGGGATCTCTAACTTAAATTTATAATTATCATAAATTTTAAATGGTGACTATAATTCTATATGAAGTCTAAATTTCCGTTAGTTTTCTAAATTTCTCAAAATGTGGTAGTAGTAATAGTAGGTTAGAAAAAGTGAGAATGATACTAATATATTAAATTTATATATGAACCACACACTTTTACAGTGTGCTTGAAATTTTGAGTGTAATGGGTAGCCTAATTTGGTATCGAATTTGCCTTCGAACGTAAAATCTCTTACTTTTAAGTGAAGATGAATAGCACAAAGACCGTAGTACTGAGTGACGGCTCTTTAATTAAATCTCATAAAACAACTAACTATTTAACGTACAAACACTATAGATTTTTTCAAAATTAAAAATAAAAATTAACAAAAGTTTATTTATTTATTTATAATAAATTGTAGAAGTTGGCGCCATTGACTGGATCACTGAAACCCTCGATTCTCACTGAGAGCAGCCAAGCAGTCGACTCTAGTCCCTACCATGGCGGAGCCAATCACTCTCATGGACATCGACGACGATGACAACCTATCTGTACAACCCAACAACAAAGGCAAAAACGTCGTCGTCTCCGCAGCCGCCCCTTCCCACGGCAAAGCCACGCCGTGGGTCGAGAAGTACCGCCCTCATTCCCTCGCAGACGTCGCTGCTCACCGCGACATTGTCGACACCAGTAAGCAATTCCTTCTCTCCTTGATTGGCGGTATCAAGTGTTGGATTTTCTAGGGTTTATGCTGATTATGCTTGTTGGGTTTCTCTCTATTATAATTAGTTACTGTAGTGTTTGTTTGGTGAGAAAATCTGGGAATAAAAGATGTTCATTTGTGTGTATATATTCGTATGTATGTATATAATTTCAGAGATGGAGAAATTAGAGAAAAGCAGCACAGTTTCCCTTTTGTTTTTTTTCCCTTGCTCACCTCGAATGTAAAGAGATCCTAGGGGTTTGGCTTGATTTTCCTAATGTTTCGATTTTCGGCATGAGCGGAGCATAATTTTGGTTAATCTTAATGCTTATAAGTAGTTGTCATTCATTTTAATTGTTTAGTTATCCATTAGTTCAATGTGTTTTTGTGGTGGGGTTGCATAGTTGATAGGCTTACTAGTGAGAACAGATTGCCGCACCTCCTACTATATGGCCCTCCTGGTACTGGCAAAACTTCAACTATTCTTGCTGTGGCACGCAAGCTCTATGGAGCGCAGTATCACAATATGATTCTGGAGTTGAATGCATCCGATGACAGGGGGATCAATGTTGTGCGACAACAGATTCAAGATTTTGCTAGCACGCAGAGTTTCTCGTTTGGGTAAGACTTCGATTTGTGCCTGTCATTTGTTAATTTATATTTTGGTGATTTCTGGTTGTTTTCCAGCCTTATGAATATATTTCTTTTCTGAAAGATTATAAGATTTCAGACAACCAACGATGGCTATGCATTGTGATGCTATTTGATGTTAGTTTCTGCAAGTTATTATGTCTAACGTTTAGCTGTGTGATCAAGCTTATAGGCCGTTTATGTCTGTTCAGGGGTGATAGTGCAAAGTCATCTGTAAAAATGGTATTGCTGGATGAGGCGGATGCTATGACAAAGGATGCTCAATTTGCTTTGCGAAGGGGTATGAATTGTTTGATGAGATTTTTGTCGATTCCAACTTCCCAAATATCTCACTGATTCGTTTTTCTAATATACTTTTGTGTTTGGTGCAGTGATTGAGAAATACACAAAGAATACTAGGTTTTCACTAATTTGTAATCATGTCAACAAGATCATTCCAGCATTACAATCACGATGTACTCGTTTCCGATTTGCTCCACTTGAGGAGTTTCATGTCTCAGATAGACTCAAACATGTTATAGAAGCTGAAGGGTAAGTACTATTCTTTTACTCACATTTTTTTGGGTGCGTTGATCGTGCATTATGTAGATGTTGCCTTTTATGTTTTCCTATAGAGGATGAAAATTAAATTCTGTAAAATCACCCTTTCTGTATAGTAGAACTAAAATGTAAGCAAGGTTCTTCTCTGTTGAGGTTAACTATTACCCATTTCGTCAGTGTCAAGTTTAAAGTGGGAAAAAGGTTTAGTACTTTTTTGGCGTACTCATTGTTCAACAAGGTCATGCTAGAGGGGATTTTTTTTGCATTAAATGCTTCCAAGAACTGTGAAAGATTCTAAAGATGTGATTCGGTAATTTCAAACAAGAAAACGTAGAAGCCTAGCCGGGGAGGGAGATTCTCCTACTCCTTGTTATAATACATAGTTGAAAATAGAGTGGAAAACTCGGTTCAAAATCAAGCCCAAAAAACGACCCTTTTGTTAAGGCAAATATAGTAATATAACTGTGCTTCAACAGCAAACATTATGGTTGTATGTCAGAAATATATTGACAAGTTGAGATTTATTGATTGGATTAGGCTTGATGTGCATGCGAGTGGCTTAGCGGCAGTTGTACGGCTTAGCAATGGTGACATGAGAAAGGCTCTGAACATTTTGCAGGTTAAAGATCTCTACTCAGATGTTACTTGTCTGTGCATTTGTCTATTCGTCTTTCTCTTTTGCTTTGCAAAATCTGTTTGTGTGGCAATGTATCGATTCATAAAACGACAGGTTAGGGAAATGACATTTTTCCTTGTAATATGTAAAAATTTTATGAAATCCTTTATTCCTCAATTAGTAATAGCAGAAACTCAAATTACCTGCGGTACCGTATGACTAGATTTTTTAAATTTGTTTTTTCATGATTATGTTAACGTCATTTCTATTTCAATATACGCAGTCAACTCATATGGCTTCACAGCAGATAACTGAAGAAGCGGTATATCTTTGCACAGGAAATCCATTGCCCAAAGATATTGAGCAAATATCTTACTGGCTTTTGAACGAATCATTTGCTGAGAGTTTCAAACGTATTCAACTATCTTATTTGTTTACGTATTTGTAATTATATTGTCAGAGGGAAAAGTTCTTTAGTGTTTTCTATTTTTCACTTGATTGCAGGAATATCTGACATGAAAGCAAGAAAAGGGTTGGCTTTGATAGATATTGCAAGAGAAGTGACCATGTAAGTGTTATACATTTTTCTACATTTTCTCATGGCATTTTGTTTGCTTCGTCTCACCTACACTGCTTTCGTTGAACAGGTTCGTTTTTAAGATTATGATGCCCGCAGATGTTCGAGTTAAATTGATTAATGATTTAGCTGACATAG